CAATTCTTACGGAAAATAAATAACAACAGAAGCATTAGTGGCATCAACCAAAAGATTACTTAATCCTTTGGGTTCAGATGTGTGCTTTTATTCCAGGTGCTGGATAGACACATAAGCTCCTGGAATTTTAGAAGAACAGGTGATTTTAGGAATATTTATTATAGGCCTGATAGATTTTAATCATTGGTATCAAGGGTTTTAAAGACATAGAAAGTCCAATTCAAATCAGATTACTTCCTAAAGTACGATTTAAAAAATGTTCCTTTGGAATTAGGAACATGTTATGAAACAATGTAATAATATTAAATTCTCTAGCCAAGTTTCAAAGCATCCTATATAGTAAAAGCCTAGGTGGTGCAACGCTCTTGCGCGATGCTGCCACAAGATGGCCAGCAGGGAGGGCAGTTGGGAGCGACCAGGCCTGCAGGGGAGGGCAGTTGAGAGGGACCAGGCCTGCAGGGCAGAGCAGTTGGAGGTCATCGGTCCGCCAGAGGAGGAAAGTTGAGGGCAATCAGGCTGGCAGGGGAGCAGTTAGGCATCAATCAGGCCAGCAGGCAGGTGAGCGGTTAGGAGCCAGCAGTCCCGGATTGTGAGAGGAATGTCTGACTGCCATTTTAGACCCGATCCCGCAGCAGCAGTCGGACATCCCCCTCAGATATCCCCCTCAGTGTCCCCCTCAGACATCCCCTGAGGGTCCCAGATTGGAGAGGGTGCAGGCCGGGCTGAGGGACACCCCCCCCTGCACGAATTTCATGCACAGGGCCTCTGGTGTTTTAATAATATCTCTGAAATAGAGGGTATGATCACCCTAAGTCTAGCGTCCCTAAGTCAGGGACTGCCTGCCCACTCCCTCAGTGGATCAGATACATTGCAAGAGATTGAGGAAAAGCAAATAACCGTATAATGGCATTTGCTTTAAGACCAGCTGTGTTTTCTGAAGGAGTGTTATGGTTTTTAACTGAGTTGTTTTTCAAGGAACTAATGAAAATGAACCAAATCAGATTGGTATTGTCACGTAGTCGTGGCAGCCAATTCAATCAAAAGTGCTTGGTCAACTTTCTCCCTAATGGCTTTCCTTATTTTTCACAAGCCCTGCCCACCGAGGCAGGAAGGTTAAGTGCTTTATGCTAAAAAGTGCACAGTGACCCTCTTTTTGGTGGAGGACCATGCAATGGCCACCAAAGTGCTCCAACAACTTAGCGCTACATCTTTTAACCTTCTCGTCTCCAGCCTTGAGTGCAGGAGATGGCAGAGGACTGCCTTTGAAGTCACATGGAACTCATTGACTTGCTTCTGAGGGAAAACGGTGGCTGCAAACATTACAGTGCAATAGAACTCCTTGAAGAGTTCAAACGACATACACAAATGGACAAACAGGTGCAAAGGGCTTTTCAGTTTGAAATCCCTCTGAGATCAAAATGGCTTTGTCTCTGGTGGTGTCTTTGAGTCCTACATCTTGATTTATCACGGCATTGAGGATTGCTTCACAAATAAAGATGACTCAGATACAGTATTTGGTGCTAGAGATGTTCTGTAAAGCTCAAGAACACCTACAATCATCTTTTCGTCACTCATTTTTAACATGCAATTGGTATCGATTCGTAAACATTCATAACATTACCGCAAGGATGCATCTTCACTAAGTGATGATATATGTTCACATCACTCTGTTAAAGAACTTATTGATTATCTCATTTGCAAGATTGTAAAACGGTATCGTGGACTATATAGAAAAGAGAATAGTCTTAACATTCATAGATCCAAAGGGACAAATAAAGACAGAATGGAAGTATGCATGGTCTATCTCAGACATTGGCAATTTTTTTCTCTAAAGAGCTGGAGGGTAGCCCTAGCCTGTTTGGCTCAGTGGATAAGCATTGGCCTGCGGACCAAAAGGTTCCAGTCAAGGGCACGTACCTTGGTTGTAAGCTCCTCCCCTGCCTGGGCCCTGATTGGGGTACGTGCAGGAGGCAACCAATCGATGTGTTTCTCTCACATTGATGTTTCTCTCTGTCTCTCCCTCTCTCTTCCACTCTCCCTAAAAATCAATGGGAAAATATCCTTGGGTGAGGATCAACAACAACAACAACAAAGCCAGAGAGTAAGTAGTTTAGACTTTGCAGGCCATCAGGTCTCTGCCTTAACTTCCCCGGCTGCAGTAACAAATTACCACAAACTTGGGGGCTTAGAGCCGTGGTCGGCAAACTGCAGCTCCTCAGCCACATGCAGCTCTTTGGCCCCTTGAGTGTGGCTCTTCCACAAAATACCACGTGCGGGCGCACACGTACAGTGCGATTGAAACTTCGTGGCCCATGCGCAGATGTCGGTATTTTGTGGAAGAGACACACTCAAGGGGCCAAAGAGTCGCATGTGGCTCGTGAGCTGCAGTTTGCCGACCACTGGCTTAGGAGGACCCTAATGAAGTTAATAACAATGTACCTACCTATATAGTTTAAGTTTTAAAAATTTGGCTCTCAAAAGAAATTTCAATCGTTGTACTGTTGATATTTGGCTCTGTTGACTAATGAGTTTGCCGACCACTGGCTTAGAGCAACGGAAGTGTATTCTCTCAGCTCTGAAGGCAGAAGCATGAAATCCAGATGGTGGCAGGGCCGTGCTCTCTCTGGAGTTCTCGGGAAGCATCTCTTGTAGTCTCTCTCCCAGCTTCTGACGGTGCCGGCAGCCCTTGCATTTCTTGGCTTGTAGCTGCATCGCTCCAATCTCCGCCTTGGTCCTCACGTGGCCTGTTTTCCTGTTTGCGTGTATGTCCCTGTATCCATACCTCCCTCTTCTGTCTCTCATAGTGATGCCAGTCACTGGGTTCAGGACCCACCCTAATCCAGTATGACCTCAGCTTAACTTGATTATAACTTCCAAGACCATATTTCCAGAGAAAGTCACATGCACAGGTACCAGGGATTAAGACACCCACATGGCCTTTTTGGAGACACGATTCAATTTCCTACAGTCTCTGTTACAACCACTCAATTCTGTGGCACAGGCACAGCCAAGGACAATCCATAAAGAAACACACATGCTGTGTTCCAGTAAAATTTATTTACGGAAACAGCTGATTGGATGGCTTTGGCCGGCAGACTAGAATTTACCAGTCAGTGCCTGGTGATCTAACTGAAGCAAAACTGCAGTAAAAAAAACATACACATAGACACCATAAAACACTTTTCCCTTGCTTCAATCAGTCCATTTTAAAGTATAACAATGCATACATCAGTGTATATATAGAAACACTTATTTTAAAATAGATGGCAACTTGGGGCAAAAAAAAAAAATGGAACTTTTATAATGATCTCAAATCCCAAAGCTCTGTTCCTAAAAATGCTTGAATTAGCTTTTTTTTTTTTTCTGGTCAATTAAGAGCTTTTTGATGATCATTTAGTTTTGAGGGTCTACATGGACTTTCAGCCAATGAGATGCAGACTACTTTGGAGACAAGATTTGCGTTGAACTCAGACATATTTGCTCACTCTATTAGAAAGAAGGTGCCTACGAACCCCACTGAACGTTCACTCCACGAGGGCAGGCACACCGTTTCAGCCAATGGTGGGTCCTCAGGGCATAGAAGAGACTGTAATAGTCACTCGATAAATACTTGTCTAAAGTAACTTGTTCGCTAGCATAAGAAGAGTGAATCCGTGTATTGTTGTCTTAATCCTAATGTATAAAAATAGTCTCCGTCACCATACCTTAAAATTATTGATAGTCTTAAACTGAAAGGAAAGCTAGACTAAGAGAAATCCAATTTCAATTAAGAGCGATGAGGAGAATTTGTAAAGAGACTAATGGGGGTAATAAATCAGAAGGAGTCCGTGGATAATATTAGTTTTTGAAGATCAGATTTATGCAATCGAAGGAAAAGGTGGGAAGTCAAGATCCATTTCAACAACCGAGCTAAGAGGTTAGCAGCTACTCCCTCTGGCCCAGCTCAACGCAACAGCAGAACAGCGAGGACCCCTGAGAGGCAGCCCGGCCCTGGTGGCTGGGGGAGGAAAGGGTGTTGTTGGGTTGAAGAGGGCGCAGGAGGAGCAATGCTCTGGGAGGCTGTGAAGGTTCCAGCTCAGAGTCTGGCCTTCCTTACCGCTGGATGGAAGGCAGAGATTTGCACGTGAAAGGTGTAGGACGGTAACGTTGCTCAGGAAGAATTAAGGTGCATGACAGCGGAGACATAAGCTGAGACCCAAGGGAGAAGTGGCTGTAGGATTCCATGCTGGAAGCACATTAAAGAACCCTGTGAGTCCGGCCGGTGTGGGTCAGTGATTGAGCTTTGACCTATGAACCAGGAGGTCATGGTTCGATTTCCCGTCAGGGCATATGTCCGAATTGTGGGCTCGATGCCCAGTGTGGGGCGTGCAGGAGGCAGCCGATCAATGATTCTCTTTCATTATTGATGTTTCTATCTCTCTCTCCCTCTCCCTTCCTCTCTGAAATCAATAAAAATATTTTTTTATAAAGAAAAAGGAAGGGAAAGTACTTACAAATGAAGAAAATGTTACAAGGGAAAATGTTTCCATTGTGGAAAATGTAACAAGCATGCTGAGGCCAGGTGTAAGCTGCATTGGTGCTGCATTCAGCTTGTTTTTTGTATCAATGTGGAAATTCAGATATAGTAGCTTAAACAAGCACCCATAACTCACTAACAGAAAACGTGCCTCAACTCCTAATAATCAGGATAATTTACACTGAACCCACCAATGTTCACTTCTTGTTGAAAGCGAATTTTTTAAGTATATTTCTAATTGATTTGAGAGAGGGGGAGGGGGAGGGAACTAGAGAAACATCCAGGCAAGAGAACCACCCCTCGGCTGCTCCTGCACGCCCCCTACTGGGCATCCATTCCGCAACAGGCACCTGCCCTGAGCTGAATGGAACCTGCAGCCTGGAGGTGCAGGGGAGGATGCTCAACCCACTGAGCTCACTGCCCGGGCGAGCCTGTGTCCAGATGAAGGGGACACTGACCGCCTGCCCCCCTTTTCTCCTTCCAGAGAGCCGATGAGAGCCGCCCCCTGAGCCGCGCCCGCCGCCCCCAGGACCCATGTGCGCCCGGAAGGAATGAAGCATGGATGTGAAGGAGCGGAGGCCCTACTGCTCCCTGACCAAGGGCAGGCGCGAGAAGGAGCGGCGGCACACCAACTCCTCGGCCGACAACGAGGAGTGTAGGGTGCCCACGCAGAAGTCCTACAGCTCCAGCGAGACGCTCAAGGCCTTCGACCACGACTCCTCCCGGCTGCTCTACGGGAACAGAGTGAAGGACCTGGTTCACCGGGAAGCGGATGAGTACAGCAGACAAGGTAGGTGCCTGCTGGCCAGCAAGGCCTGCTCAGGGGGGGCAGCGGGGAGGCCGCTGGGCACCTGAGCGCTCACCTGTCCCCGCTCACCGTGACATGGTTGTATTCTGAGGTCGCAGTCCTATCCTCTGACTCAGATTTTGAAACAATTTTTTTTAGATGGTCACATACTATTCCATATTATTGGTAGAAAACCACCTGCATGCATAGGGACCCCAGCTACAGGTAGCCACTCCACATTTTTAAAAATATATATATTTTTATTGATGTCAGAGAGAAAGGGAGAGGGAGAGAGAGAGAGAAACACCAATGATGAGAGAATCATTGATCGGCTGCCTCCTGCACGCCCCCTACTGGGGATCAAGCCTGCAACCCAGGCCTGTGCCCTGATGGGGAATCTAACCGTGACCTCCTGGTTCATAGGTCAATGCTCAACTTCTGAGCCATGTGTGTGTGAGGTCTGGGACTCCGGATGTGGCCAGGTGTTTGCGCATGAACTTGAATCCCGGTCTCCAGGGCTGTCTCGCAGCCTCATGACGGTGCTCACGGACACGGCTTATGCAGTTAGCACTGGGGCAGGGGAGCAGGAGCTGCTGGGGAGGAAGCTGGCCTTTCCCTCATGAGAAAGGAGGAAGTTTCCATCGGGTCATCTCCTGGCCCATCCCGCCCCGCTGGTGGGTCTGCGTTTGCACAAGAGCCTGCTTGCAAGGGCTCCACCGTCTCTCGCAGGCAACCTGGGACGCTGAGGTTGTACTTTAACATCCTCGTTTCCCATAGCACAACCCACCACGGTCTGTTCAGTCGCATATGTTTGTTGAGCGTTTTTACGCTCTGTCCTCTGCCGGCATATTCTGCCAGTGACTTCTGTGACTTTACTTCACAATCCGGAATTTACCGATGTCTACGCTTTGAGACAGTAGCTCATTTTAAATTAGGCACACAGGGTTATATTTTGTTTCTTCTAATACAGTCATGAGTTGTGGGCAAGATTACTGCTAATAAAAATAAAATCCTCTTATACTGGTATTGCACAGTCAATTTACATAGAGCTTGGCATCCCTTCGCCAATTTAATCAGGAAACGAAGAAACATAAACTTCAAAGATAAAGGACATTTTCATCCTTTTCCAATCACCTTACAGACACTGTGACTAACAGTTTGATATTGGGCAGGAACAAATGTAAGAAAAAGTAATAATGCAATAAATCATTCAAAAGTTTGAAAATTCCCCATGCATTATGGGAAGAGCCATCCTAACTAGACTGAAATGCCGTTCGCTCGCCCAAACCCATTTACATCAAAGCAGACTCATTTGATTTGCTAAAGAGTGGGTTTTCTTTTTCTCCCCAAAAGCATGCCTTCATTACAGGTGTCAATTTCACGGAAGGGGGCAAAACAGCTTAAGATTTTTCATCCAGTTTTTAGGGGAAGATATAGAACATGTATTAGAGATACGTGATCTTGTTAAGTGGGGTTTAATTCATTGTATACTGCATTATAATTCTTAACCCAACTTTCTTTACTTTCTTTTCTTCCGTATTATCTACACAGCCAATATAGACCATCAGGGTACGTTTTTCACAGATTTAAAAAATAGCCGGCAGTTGTAGAAATGCGTGCAATCGGAACCAGTGTAATTCCTGCTTTTTGTAACAAAAACAGCTGTTCAGTGCCCTCCTGGGAAACACCACACTGTGGGAGGCGATTAGAAGGGAAGAGGCCCAAGAGGCGGGCTGAGCTGGGAGGCGCGTCTCCACCCCCCGCGAGCAGGCCCTGTGGCAGAGCGGGGATGCTGGGGGGTGAGAAACAGCGAGCTGACGTGTTCACCTCCCGGGCAGCGCCAATCCCGTGCAGAGCCCGTTGTGGATGGCATGGCGATGCCGCCTGTGGAAACCCTGGAACTTAGTTCTTAGGGACCCGATAGCACCATCGCTCAGCTCCTCCCAGGCCATGGACGAGAGAATGAAAAGGGACAGGAGAGACAGCGAGCCAGCCTCCTGTGGCAGTGGAGGCCACTGGCAGGAGCAGTAAGTGGAGTCATGATTAGAGGTTTCAGAGCAGAGGTCAAAGGCGAAGGCACAGGTCCCCTAAACGTACGTGTTCATAAATCAGAGAGTATCAAACACACACAGGGCCCAGCCTGCGTGGCTCAGTGGTTGAGCATCAACCTGGGAACCAGGAGGTCATGGTTCAATTCCTGGTCAAGGGCACATGCCTGGGTTGTGGGCTCCATTCCCAGTGTGGGGCGTGCAGGAGGCAGCTGACCCGTGATTCTCTCTCATCACTGATGTTTCTCTCTCTCTCTCTCCCTCTCCCTTCCTCTCTGAAATCAATAAACATATATTTTATTTTAAAAAGGAAAAGAAAACATTAAACACACACACACACACACACACACACACACACACACGGACTGTGCTGCTATGTAGAGCTCCCGTGCCCTGACCCCTCAGTGGGCAGACACACAGGCATGGGCACTGCCATTCCCCCCTCGGGCCACCTCTGAGGAAGGCCCTGGTGGGTAGTGTCCTCCTGTCACAGACTGAGACGTTGGGGCGCAGGGAGGCCCGTGGTGGTGCCGTGGCCGAGCTGGGACTGGAACCCAGGCCCTCTGTCCCTAGTGTTCAGGCTTCTAACCTCGGTGCACTCGCCAAGACCGGAAACAGGTCGTTGCGTATCCTAAGCACCCATTGGTTTGTCAGTGTCAGTCCATTTTGGTTTTTTTTTTTAGTTTTTAAATCTTTATTGTTGAAACTATTGCATATGTCCCCTTTCTTCCCCCACTGACCCCTTCTGGCCTGCCCCTGCCCCCCCACCCATGCCCTTGGCCTTCACCACCCGATTGTCTGTGCACATGTGCATACCTGCATACAAGTTCTTTGGTTGATCTCTTCCCACCCTCCCGCCTTCCCCCGCCTTCCCTCTGAGGTTCAGCAGTCTGCTCCATGCTTCCATGTTCTGACGGTGGGCTGGAGGGGGTGAGGGCACTGAGGCATATTTAGGAAATAGAGCTGATATGGGTCCCTGAGGCTGAGGCAGGAGGAGGGTGGCCATACCTTTTCTTACTGGGCTTTGCTACGGGGCAGGTTTGTAGCAGGAACAGTGGAAGGAAAATCGGCTCTCAGGGTCTGTTTTTCTCGCGCCAGCATCACGGCAAATCCTCCTAGACTCTCATTTTCTTTGAACCTGACAAATGTCAGTGTTTCCTCCCTGACAGGGATGCTGTGGGATTAATTATTTAATTGACAAAATGTGCTTCCTGCCACTGCTCCTGACATCAGACACATAATAAAAATGAAAGATTAAAAATGTTAATAGTAGCCAAGGACCGTTGAAACAGTTCCAAAGAGTGTTGCTGATTGAGCCTGTCCACGGAGTGTCAGTCCTGAACCCACGTGTCCCGTGGCTGACGCAGGGAGAGGCAGCGTCGGCTGCGGGAGGGTGCAGTGGGGACCCTGTTAATGCAAGTACAAGGATTCCAATCCAGAAATGCGATGCTTTATATGTTTATTCAACAATTTTATGCTCTATTATCAAATTTGATTTTAATCATTTTTATGGCTTTCCTCACCGGCCGGTGACTATTGTTAAGTCCAGGTTATCCTCTTTTTTTTTTTTTTAATGATTTTTTAAAAATATTTTTTATTGATTTCAGAAATGAAGTGAGAGGGAGAGAGAGATAGGAACATCAATGATGAGAGAATCATTGATGGGCTGCCTCCTGCACGCCCCCTACTGGGGATGGAGCCTGCTACCCAGGCATGTCTCTTTGATAGGAATCGAACCCGGGACCCGTCAGTCTGCAGGCCAATGCTCTATCCACTGAGCCAAACTGGCTGGGGCCCAGGTTATCTTTAGATCCTGGGAAGCCGGGATGATTTCATTTGCACAGTAATGTGTGATTTGACTGGATCTCACAGATCTTTCTCTTTAAATGTCCTCATGTGGTTTATTGGGTGATGGAAACAGTTCTCTTTAGCAGCTGGGGAGCTCTCTGTAGGTGTGACAGGGTGAGGGCGACAATGGCTTCTTTTGCATTCTTGGATGCTATTTTCTTTGATTCCCCCTTGAAGAGAATTTATCCTGTCAGGCCTGAGACACATTTCTTCGGAAACAGCTGCATGAGATCGGCCCACACTTTTGGAGCAATGATCAAATAAAAGACCTTTCTTTCTCTCTCTCTCTCTCTCTCTCTCTCTCTCTCTCTCTCTCTCTCTCCCCCTCCCCCCCCCCATTACACTGCCTGTAGTGTTTTTGACCAAACGCGAATGTTTATCCACTCCAATCAGAATGTTGGCCATGACGGTGACTTTTGAAGAGGGGGTGTCGGGAATAAGGACACGTGATCCATAGAACCATAAGCCCGCGTGGAACACCTCTGAGCCGTCTTAACCCAACATGTTCACCAGTTAGAATTTGGTGTTGGGGTTATGAATTCCAGAATTTCAAACTGAAAAGTTCAGCATTTATTCTTACATCTATAGAATGGCCATGGGGAGGAGGGTTACATTTAAAACTCAAGTAGCATTACGTCTACATTTATACACACCTGAGAGCAAAATAGAAAATAAATTAGCAAGGTCGGAAGGGCGAGGGGAAGGCAGATGGGCAAGGGCAGGCGCTCACTGATGTTGGAGGGGGCTCACCCCAGGCTTCTCTCCTCCGTCCTCCTGTTGCCTGGGGATTTGTCTGTCTCCTGCTGCTCACCATTGGCCCTTCCGGCTGCCCCAGCTCTTACAAACCTGCCTCTGCTTCTCAGCTCATGACGTGGCTGGTCCAAGGCCAGTTCAAGTGTAGACCCCACCCTGATTTCTCAACGTGGCGCCTCCCCGGTGGGCTGCATCCTGGCTCCGTCTCTCCTGTAAGTGTTTCAGGTGCTTGACCTTCCCCTGGCCAAGGACAACCCTCTCCCGTGAATGAAAAGGGCATTAGAGGAGCAGGCTGCCTTTGCCTGCAAATATCCAGGACCCCGGCATGATGGTGGCTGGAATGACGCCTCACCC